AGAAATGTTGGGAAACTTCAGAGTCGTGTTCAGGTGTTTAAAGGTGGTTCGTTGTGGAAATCTGGTTTCATAAATAGAAAAATAGTGAATTTTATAAATATAAAAATATTTTCAAATAGGGGTTGGAACCAGATCTTTAAAGATGGGTATTTCAGGTCACATCCAACCCAAACCCATTAATGAGTCTGTGATTTGTATAAGATCCATGCACTTTGTGGCCTTTTTTATTTTAAAATGTAGTGTTGGTCAGATCTTGAAATACAATGTATCCAGTTCATTTTACTCAGATATTCATATTTATGTATAGATCTAGATTAGGTAGGCCTTGGGTTTGTTTTGGGGTTTTTTTTACCCTTTTTTGAGGAATTTTTGTCATTTCTGCTTTCGCACAGGACAAGGCAATGTCCAGCCCCTTCACAGAGACAAATTTGCATGATCTGAGAATCTCCTGAGCTGCCCCTCAATGAAATATCCCAATCCTCTGACCAGAGAGGGGGGTCTGGTTGGACAAGTTGCTACCCCAGAAGAGAGGAACTCCCCAGCCTGCCCCTGCTGTAACCTGTGTGGTGCAGGAAAACTCGAGGAGGAGCAGGGGGAGGGCTGAAGTTTATCCCCAAATATTCAGCTTTGCCTCCCATCCTCCTCTTAGAAATCCATTTTCCTGTGCAGCTGTTAGCTGGAGCAGCTGTGCTGTGGGAGGAGGATGCTCCTCAGCCTCCTCCCCAGTGCTGAATTGCACTGCTGGGGTGCCTGGCTGGTTTTATTTCTGGCACTGGGCACTGGGAAGATGCTGTGGGAAGCACATGACACTCCAGCCCCCTTCCCCCAGCCTGGGTGCAGAGATCCTATTATTTCTGATAATTGATGCTGAGGGCTGTGGCGTGCCTCATTTAATCAGCCGTGCTCAGCACACTCCAGGGATGTAATTCATGTAATTCCACCTCCAACATGGCTGGCCAGCCTCGGACACACAGCCCAGCAGCCACAGCAGTTTTTAATCAGCTGTCTGAGCACTGTTTGTCTAATCAGCCAGGAACTCTGTCACAGCCAGAGCAGAGGTGACATTAGCACATCTGGAATGCCTGGCTGCAGCACTGGAGGGAGGTGTTCATGTGAACACTCTGCCAGGAATAAAAGCGTGTTTCTACTTACCAAAATGGAAAAAGACCTGAACTGGAGCAGGTTGGAAAGGGTTAACGTGGGATTTGGTTGACTGTAATATCCTGAGCATCCTTAGAGAACTTCCCAGGTAACAAACAGATGTGTCCTGAGATCACACCTGGGTTTAAACCCTTCCCACAAAGCCCTCCTGCTTTTGGAAGCAATGCTACCTGATCGTGGTGGTAGTGAACACATTTACTGCAGAACCTGGCTGATCAAAACTGGGCAGGACAAGCAGATGCATCAGCAGAGGATAAACTGCAGCCCAAATAAAGAAGGCAAACACTGAAATTCTGTCTGCTCGCAGCTGTAAAGTTACTGCCTGAGCAAATACAAAGAGAGGTGGTAACTGGGAGTGATTAAGTTTAATTGATTCCCAGTTCCTCCATATCTTTACAAAAGGCTGTCCTGGAGCCTGGTTTCCTCCTTCCTGTTCCAACACAGCTCTTCTCACTCTGATGTGCAGGTGTAAAAGCTTCTTCTACACCAGTGGGGGTAGTTCATCTCTCAGGGAGCACTCAGAAACACCAGCAAAGGGATGATCTGTGCCCCCACATCCTGCTGGGTGTCCTGCCCCAGCTGCAGCTGCTGCCACCACCCCTGCTCAGGGGCAAGGACACTTCCTCCACTGAAGGGGTGCTCAGGCATCAGAACAGGCTGCCCAGGGCAGGGCTGGACTCACGCCTGGAGAGTCCGGAATGGGGGCAAATGGGGCACTTTGTGCTGTGCCTCAGTGGCCAGGGAGGTGTTTGTGCAGATGTTGGGCTGGGTCTGGTGGGGCAGCCACAGCTTCCCTGGATCCTCAGTATCCCATGGCCAGTACTGTTTGCCACTTCAGGAAAAGTTAAATTAAGTGCTGGGAAGCTGTTAGCTTCATCCCAGATGTTTGAGGTTTGAGAAAGTTTGTCTGGGTTTTTTTTTCCTCTGGAATCTTTAGTTAGAAACACCTCTTGGTGGCATTTTTGGAAGAAAATACATTTCCAGAAATTACTTCAAAAATCAATCTGCCTTAAAGATCTTCTTTTTTTTTTTATTTGGGAGTTTTTTCTGTTAGATAATGAAGTATTTCTTACAGCATTTTATTGATAACCAGTTGGTGTTTCTTTGATTAAGCATATATGTGAGATATATACATATATATATATATACACATATACACATATACACATATATGTTATATATATATGAGATATATGATATAGATATATATTTTAATATATCTATATGATATGTCTATTTCTATATATTATATAGATACATATTTTAGATACCTAATCTATATATCTATATCTCTCTCTATATAAAATATATTGGTTTCCAACCCCAATCATATATATATGATATAGAAAATAGATTTGGATAATATAGATATAGATATAGATATATAAATACAGATATATATAGATTGTATGGATGATATAGATATAGGCATATAGATATATAGATATAGATAGATATAGATGTAATATAGATTATATGGATGATATAGATATGGATATAGATATAGATATAGATATAGATATAGATATAGATATAGATATAGATATAGATATAGATATAATCTCTGGAGATGGCAACAAGAGCAGTTTGTTGGGTTTACTTTGGGGAGCAGGAAGTGAAGCCAGAGCAGACAAACTGAATATCCTGGGAAATAATTCCAAGACAAAGCAGGCAGCTAATGACCTGCAGGGCCTGTTCCAGCCTGGTTGTGGGTAACAGCAGTGTGTAATTCCAGAGGCAGGCAGGGTAGGATGGCTCTGCTCTCCTGGCACATCAATCACCCTGCAGAGGCTTTGCTTGGCAGTGTCCAAATCCTTATTGAATCCGTAAAGGCAGGAGAGCACCTGGAGGAAGCAGGCAGGAGCCTAATCGATGCCAAAGGATGCATGTGGATGGATCAGGACCTCAGCATCTCTGTGGGAAAAGTCCATTTGTTTAAAGGGAAGGGAAAGGCCTGACACTTAACACATTAAAATGGATTATTTCATCAATAGGTTAATAGAAAAGCAGGCTGCAGGTTCAGTCCTGCACGCAAAACGTGCCATTAAAGTGTGAAAAATGGGAAAGGCACTGGGAAGGGGTCTCTGCGCACTGGAGACCATCTTCCCTTTCAGAGGGGTGCCAGACCTCGATTTTGCCTATTTATATGTAAATGTTTCAGAGGAAAAACAAGTTTTCTGCAGGGCAATTCTGCTTCTCTAGTGCAGAGGCTTCTTAAACAGCTCTTTAAATAAAAGGGTTTTTCCAGGTTGAAGGATGCACCCAATGGAAACACTTCCAGATTTGGTGATGTCACTCAGAACGCAGTCCTCCTTTTCAGAATGGAGCATTGAATACAGCAGATGGCTTTATTCAAATCATACCTGGCTTAACAGTCAGGGGGGTTCAGGCAGTGCTCTTCCAGCTCTAATTCTTCAGCTGAAAATGGAGTTTTTTGTTAAAGCCTGAAATGAGTTTGTGACACTGTTCCTTCTCCCTGTCAGCAGCTGTATGGTCTGAGTTCTGTGAGGCATTACAGAAATTCCCCCATAAATACTGAAGGAAATTCCTTCAATTATTATACCCTGGTACTGGCTGTGTTGTGGGGTGTGGATGAAATCCTGAAGAGAGAGGGACATCTGTGGTGGGAGGGAGAAGGGTCTGTGGTCCCTTAGAAGACTTCTTGAGTCAACCACCAACTCAGCACCATCATATTCATCACTAAACCCTGTCCCACATCCAAGTGCCATTTACACACTTCCAGACAGGGGAATTCCAGCAGTTCCCTGTTCTTCCTGTGGCTCTCAGGTGTCCTGGTCTACTCAGATGTTTCATCTGGTTCCTGTGTGAGGAAACCCAGCCAAACTTAAAGATTCTAAAGAGAGTGAAAATGTGCTCTCCCCTAATGAGCCTGGGAACAGGGGACTTTTGGGCCAGATTTTCTGTTCGTTGTGAAGCAGCAGCTCAGAGGATCTCAACATTTGGGTCGATCTAATAAAACAAGGGTGTTGCTATTCTCTGTAAAGAATAGACTTTTTCCTCCCCTCCTTTCCAAATAAACACTTGGATTTTGCAGTAGGGGAGGAATTTTGGAGCAGCCTAGGATAGTGAAAAGTATCCCTGCCCATGGCAGGGGGTGGAACAAGATGGGCTTTGAGGTCCCTTCCAACCCAAACCATTCTGGGATTTTATGATTCTACTTCCTCTGGGCTCAGTGCTGCAAAGAACATTTGTTGGGATGAGGATTTAAGGTCATTACATCATCATTTCAGTTTCTAAATGTGGTGATGTAAAAGGAGATTTAAAGGTGAACTCTGGGCACCAAGTGATCCCCACAGGCTTTTGGAGGAAAAGGAGCTCTTGTCTGGCTGTGTTTTGTCGTGAAGTAAATCACATTTTACAGTAGCTGTTTTGTCCAGTCCTGTGTGTTCTGCTCGAATACTTCCTGCCTTCTTTTTTTTTTTTTTTGCTTTTTTTTTTTTTTTTTTTTTTTTTTTTTTTTTTTGACTTTTACTGGTCTGTTTTTGTCTATTCCAATAGCAGATCCATTTAATCTTGTCAAATGGTGTCATGTTGTGGTGACTGAAAGAAGAATCACTCTGAATATGAGGTTTTCCACACTGGCCATAGATTGCAGGGGCTGAGTGGTCCTTGTGTGCATTTTCTGTGTGTAGCTCTTCACGTGTGAGCAGGCTCGTGCTTGGATTTTACTTCACATGCTTTTTGATGTTTCTTTTCTCCCCTTTTTCATTGACAAAAAAAAAAAAATTTTTTTTCTTTCTTCCCCTTCTTTTTTTCTTTATTTTTATTCTCTTTTTTATTTTTTTTTTCTCTCTTCCCCTCCTGCTCTCTGGACGCAGCCAAACGCAAAGCTTGGAAACTAAACCGTGTTGGTAGCCTGCGAAATATTTACAGCAGCAGCAGCACCAACACCGAAGGTAACAAACCCACCCGCCCCAGACAAACACCTCCTCTCTCCCCCCTTTTTTTTAACCCACTTCTCCAGAATTTCACCCTCCTTGCCCCTCTCCCTTTTCCCCTGGAAATGAGATTTGCCCCAAGCATGCGTGTTTGTTTCCACCCCGTGTTTGCAGAGTCATTCCACTTGGTCTTTTCATCTTTCTGTTCGTGCCTTTTGTTTTGCCATTCATGTTCCTTTCAGCTTACTTAAATTTTGACCTTTCCCTCTAGTCGTGGAGTGGTGATGTTTAAATTACTTCAGGAACCCATTTTCTCCTTTTATTTATTTTTTTTAAGAGATACATATATATATTTTCCCTTTCTCCATGTGGGCACTCAATGTAATATTTCCCAAGTTATTACGGTTTTTAAAAGTGTTAGTATCAGGTGTAATGATCTGTAGCCAAATACAATAGTGTGCCATGACATTTAAGTAACAATCTTAATTTGTTTTGTGCAAGCCTTCTCCATAATGCTCTTTGCAGCTCTAATCCAGAGGCGAGACAGTGCCGGGTCATTTGCATGTGCTACTCTTGCTTGTAAATTCTGGATATTGTTGTATTTCTAAAGGTCACCCGGTGCCAAAGTTCACAAATTGACTTACATTGCTTTTTTTTTTCCCCCCCACCCAAGGCAGCCGTCATGCCTTTTGTATAATAGCACATGGAATTTTATGTATTTATTTTCCCCCCCTCCCCTCTCCACCTTCAAACAACACAATTACAAACTTTTTTTTTTTAATATATATATATTTTTTTTATTATTATTACAAATGTCAAAGGTCAGAACGACTCGCAAACCAAGCAAGGAGGAGAGGGGGAGGAAAAAAACCATCTCCAGCAGCATGGAAGAGGGATGGTGTAAGGAGCAGGGAGTGCAAAATAGGTCACAACTCAGTAATCTCCCTATAAGGGAGGGGGATTTTTTTTTTTTTCTCTTCACTTAAGTGCAAACCAAATGGGTCAAGTAATCGCCAGCGCATGCCCTAACACTAATTGACTTATTTTGGAATGATTATAACTGTAATATTTTTCTTAATGTCACTGTTTTCTGGGCTGTTGATTTTAGTGATTGCCAAGCGGTGGCATTAAATCTCTTGTAAATTTTAAATTGCATGCTATTTCTGTAAACAAGTCCCTCTGTTCACATCCTGATCATTAACCTTTGGTGATTTATATCACCGTCCTTTTTTTGCACAATTACAGCCCAGGCTGCTGCCGGGGGCCTGGCTCTCCCTGCCAAAGTGTGCACAGGAAACAAAAGTGGGGTTTTATTCCAGCTTGTTAAGGCAGATTCTTTTTTTTTTTTTTTTTTTTAACTATAATTTTGTTTCATTTCTCAGCCTAAGTGTAAAATTATTGCCTTTCAGAGCTGCTAAGCTGGCTGGTTTGATCCTTTCATTGTCTTTTCAAATAAATATGAAAAGACAGAGAGTGACTGTCAGATATTCATAAGTCTTGGGGTTGTCTTTTTTCCACAAAGGCACTTTAATAATTTTCAATTTTCTATTTGTTGTTTATACCTCCCAGCCCCATTTTTCTTCTGATCAGATATGTTTGTTGCTACAGGTTTAGTGCTTGAGAAGCTTGTGAATTTTTATTTACCTGTTCATAACCTGCAGCAGAGGAACAAATATATGGAATTCCCTTGTGTTTTACAGATCCAAGTTTTTGTAGGGCCTGTCTAATTTGAGGAATCTTTTCTCTTACTGATCAAACTAAGTACTGAAGGCACCTTGGTATGGAAACACAGTCCTGCTGGCCATGGCCCAAAAAGTTTTGAGACACAGCATCAAAATGAAATTCTAAAATTGGGCAAATGCCTCATTTTTTGGATGTTTTATCCCCTCCCAAAAGCTGGAGGTCCAATGTTCTTAGCTGTGAGCCTTTGTGTGAGAGCTGCAGTGGTGAGACATGCAAATGTGGAATTAATGAGCATTGTAAGTATTAAAAACCACATGTTTAGATAATTATGCCTTCAAAAAAGAGAACGATGATGGGAAATGACAGTCCAGAATAACAAATCTGCTTTGGTCCTTGGCACACGCTTGCTCAGTGGCACTCACACCTATTCACACACCAAAAAACATTTCCCTCAGGTTCAGCCCTGGTTTGAAAAGCTCTCCAGTCATTTTTAACTGCCTGCTGGTGTTTTTAGGTGCTCTGGGTGTGCTGCCAGGTGGGCAGATCTCACCTGGAGCCCAGGTGCTGCACTTGTGCTCTGGGGGGGTGATGGTGATGCCTTTTTGGGCTACCTAAAAAGAGAGGCCAGACAAAATTAAGATAATAAAAGCAGTTCTATTTATTGAAGGGGGCTACACCCAAAAAATGGACAATGGGTCATGGGTTTTCACACTTTTATAAGTTTGGTCCATTTGCATGTTGGGAGTTATCTCCCAATTACAGCTGCAGGTAATGAAGTCATTTAAGTTTGTTCCCCCAGCTCACTTTTGTTTCCATCTCTCAGGGTGCCCTTGATTCCCAGGTCTGGAGAGGAATTGTTGACCAAAATGAGAAAGCAGCAGCTCACACTGTATATAGAGTTTAGAGTTTTACACTAAAGAACTGCAGGATTACAAATAGGTGGAAAATAGAAAAGCTGAAATCCTAAGGCTTCAGTGGTCCCCGGTGTGGGGGCACTCTGTGCTTGAGCTTCCCCCTCTCTCTCCTGGCTGTTTCACAGCAAAAATAAGGTTTTGGGTGGGATTGTCCCCAGGTCTGGGATCCCATCTGAAGGACTCAACCTTCTGAGGATGTCAGAATCACTGAGGTTGGAAAAGCCCTCCCAGCCCAGCGAGTCCAGGCTGTGCCTGGCGCCCTCCTTGTCCCCAGCCCAGAGCCCTGAGTGCCACCTCCAAGCCCTGCCTTGGACACCTCCAGGGGTGGGGACTGCACTCCAATCCCTGAGCACCCTTTCCATGGAGAAATTCCTGCTGCTGTCCACCCTGAGCCTGCCCTGGCCCAGCCTGAGGCCTGTCTCCGTCTCTCTGGGTGCCTCCCAGTGAACCCCGGCCAGCCCCGGGTCGGCAAACAGCGGGGGGGCAGCCCCGAAGTGACCGACAATGGGGGGACACTCTCTGGTGCCCTGAGGGTACTGAGGGCAGCTAGGCTAGTCACCTTTGCAGCAGAAGAGACGCTGGAGACATCGGTGGAGGGTAAAAGGCCGACTCTGAACAGGGGGCCAATCCAAGGTTTATTCGGAGCTCCCCAGAGAGCCCCACACCTCAGGGGTGCGCCGTGCTCAGAGTGAGACAAAGGAATCTCAAGGTTACATTTAAAGGGGGGGAGGAAACCGAGGGTAGATACATTTGCTGACCAATAAAGACCCTCCAGGGATGCAGCCTTAGGGGATGGACATTTGGGATAGCGTATAACATCATCCTTGGGGGGCTGACCCCTGGCTTCGGGCTAATCACTCGACGGCTTTGACCGAAAGATCTAGATAGAAGGGATGGGATGCTGAGTGACTGACAGAGAGCCAGGGCGGGGATTTGGGGGATGATCTCAACACAGGAGAATGGTTACACAGGTAGAGGAAGGGGGTACAAAAAGGGTACATCATCTGGGGAGAATAAGGGGATACAAAATCAGAACTATTACAAAGTATAAAAGCACACTGCAACATCGGCTGTTCCCTCTCCTCCTGTCCCTGTTCCCTGGAGCACAGCCCGACCCCTGCCTTGCCCCAAAATTGCAGAGTCACCTCCTCCATCAGATCTGTCTGATTAGAAGAAATCTTACTTTCATTGGTGTTAGAGTTTGCCTAAACTCTTTAGCTGTCAGATTTTGGGTGGTTTTCCACAGGAGGCCAAATGACAAAGTCCCACGTGCTCCCTGTTGCAGGCAGCCAAGCTTGAATCAATCCTTTGCTGCTTTGGAGGGGAAAGTAGGTAGCAGGAGTGAGTTCTGCTTAAAGCAAACCCCATTCTGGTTTTAAGGGTCCCTTGTACCTGTTATCATGGCAGTGTTATTAAAATACAGAGTAATTTCTCCTGTACCAACAGATTTCAGGCCAGGTTGGACAGGGCTTGGAGCAACCTGGGATAGTGGAAGGTGTCCTGTGGCAGGGGGTGCAGCTGGATGAGCTTTATGGTCCCTTGCAGCTCAAGCCATTCTGTGATTCTACAATTTTGCAGCACAGCAGGAAGGATTATCTTTAAGGAATTAAAAACCTGTACTCTGCATGCATAAAGATCCTGATTTTCCCCCTCCTCACTGTTGCCTGTGTGATTTTGGTTGGGTCTGGTGGGCACTGAGGGAGAACTTTTTTGTTTGGATACTCATACTTGGCAGTCCCAAGCTACCTTTGGTTCCAAAGTGATGCTGTGGTGCTGTGCCCATGCAGGAAGTTACATCTAAACTGGATTTTTAAAAATTTTTCTGTCTAAACTGAATTCTAAAGAATTTTTCAACTTGAGTTGTCTTGGCACCCAAATAAAACATCAAGCCCTCGAGGCAGAGGGCTTCAGTGCCTTCAGCCTTTCACCACCATTCAGAGAAATGTGATCTAAACCAGAACAGAACTCTTCCAGTGGAACACAACCTTTACCAAGAGCTGTGGGCAAGCCACAGCAGAGCTCCGTTGTCCTGACGGGGTTGATTTTCAAAACTAATTAGATTTAGACACTGGGTTTGGAAAGGGGAGAGAAGTATTAGCATAGCCATGCCCAGTGGGACATGGCACAAATATTTCCTTAATTGAGGCTGCTAATAAACATACTTATCTGCCAAGTGAGGGGGATGATTCTCACCGAGTGGCGAAGGTAACGTAACCCAACACGCGTGAGACGTAAATAACAAAATTGTTGTAAACAAATTGTGGTTGTCAACAACTCCTGTTCCTTCCCAGCGTGCCCCAGCAGCTCTTCCCTCTCCTCCTTTTGAAACGATGAAGGGTTATGGTGCTTGAGCAGAAGAGATTTTCAGGAGAGGGAGGAGGAGGCGATGAAAAAGGAGCTTAAATAGGTCTGGGTGTTACTTGAGGCAGGTTTGGCTGGGATTCAGGCTGTAACCTCAGCTCTTGAGGGTGCTTCAGGAGCATTTGAAACGTGCCCTCAAGGGGGTTTTGGTGCTGCACTTGACTTCTTCTTCCTGGGAAGTGTTTCCTGTGTGAGTGGCACCACCCTCCAGATGTGCATGATGAGTTACTGTTAATTAGCAGCAGCACCAGCATCCTCTGCTGTCAGACAGCTGTGTTGGGCAGAGATACAAATGCACAGCCTGGTTGGCCTGGAAGCCAGCAAATCCAGTCTTATTCTGGCAAAATACTCATAAATGCCTCTTAGAAATATCTTCATATTTATTTGTTTGAAAGCCACTTTCAGGATGGGTGTGATTTCTGCATGGCAGAAGGGAGCCCTTGCCTCGTCTTGACTTTCCAGGCTGAAAGGTTGGACCAGGTGATCCTTGAGGTCCCTCCCAACCTGATCTTCTAGGATTTTTGTGACTTGGAATTGTGCCCCTCACTGGTGCAAGGTGTTATTTATGCAGTTCTTAATATTGAGAGTAAATTAGGAGGGGAGTGGAAATGGAGACCAAGCTGGTTTGTGCACATTATTCAGGACCACTCCTGAGAGATACCAGGAGGTGTGAGTGCTTCTGGACATGTGTTTTCCCTACATTCCATAGACTAAAAATGGAGTTCTCTGGAACAAGTTATGGACTAATTGTATCCTGTGGTAATTTTCAGTGTGGTTTTCTAAACGTGATCCCAGTCCCACATCACAAACACATGGGTGGGGGAAGGCAGGGGGGCCATGCCCTGAACGTTTGTTTTTTCTTCCACGATCCTAAGAAATTTTATCTCTTTGTTTTCCAGAAGTGGGTGGGCTGTGGCAGTGTCTGGTTTTTGGCACAGCAAAATAAATTGTGAACTTGGGTTAAATGCAGTTGACTGTGGAAGGATGATGGTGAGAAGTGTTCCTGGAATCCCAGAATGATTTGTGTTCGAAGGGACCTTAAAGTCCATCCCATTCCACCCCTGTAATGAGCAAGGACACCTTCCACTGTCCCAGGCTGCTCCAAGCCCTGTCCAGCCTGGCCTGAAACATTTCCAAGGATGGGGCAGCCACATCTGGGCACCCCAAAATTCACTGATTCCATGTGGACTTCCACTAAAAGAAAAAACCTCTTGTCCTTTTCCTTCCATATCATTACAATCTCACAGTTTTGGCTCATTTCCTATCCCAGCCACCCTTCCCTCTTCAAAAAACAAAAAGCAAAAAACAAGAAAGGAAAAACAAACAACAACAGCATTTTTAGACATCTCCTGTTGATAATAACTTCCAAATGGAAGTCAGTGGCAGCTGGTTCTTCACACTTTAACCCTTCCTCTGCTGCCCTTCCAGGAAATAATTGATGACTGATTGGCCCATTAACCTTTTTTTCTTTAAAAAAAAAAAAGTTTGACAGCCTGGACTTGTGTAATGAGGAGGGATTCCTGGTGAAATCGGGCTGATGGCTGAGTTGCTTGCCCCTGAGGATGCAAAATTAGCCCCGTGGGACCTCGTCTGCATAGAAACTGGACACAATTAGTGTAATATCCGGTGTTATTAATGTAGTTTGGAGTAATTGGGCAGGTTGATTTCGACAGGTTGATGGTGCTAAAATACTATTATAGTGGACCTTTCCATGAATAACTGTTAAACATGGAAAACTGTTTAATAAAATTTTGTGATTGGGCTCACAGGGATTTAAATAGCACAAGCTATAATTTGGCTGAAGAGTAAAAATGAACAATTTCATCCTCCTGCCTGGATTTTCCTGTTCCTGCATGCTGTGCTTAAGGACATACAGGAACAGGTTTGTTCCTTGTCTTCTGAAGGAATTGCCCTGGGGCTGATGTGGAGCAGGCACTGCTGCTTTGTTTCACAGCTGAGCTTGGGGGAAAAAAATATTGGTGTGTTTAAGCAGAAAAAATTAAGGAGGATGCCTTCAGCACAGCTTTTTGGGGAGTACATCTGAAACTTCAGTGGATATAGAATCATGGAATTACTAAGGTTAGAAAAGACCTGCAAGATCATCAAGTGCAGCAGTTAATCCAGCACTGCCACGTTCACCACTAATCCATGTCCCCAGGTGTCATATTTAAAAATCTTTTAAAGCCCTCCAGGGATGGGGTCTCCAAACGTCTCTGGGCAGCCCCTTCAATCCCTGAGCACCCTTTCCATGGAGAAATTCCTCAGGTGTCCACCCTGAGCCTGCCCTGGCCCAGCCTGAGGCCGTTCCCTCTCCTCCTGTCCCTGTTCCTCCGGCTGTCCCCTCCTGTCAGGAGCTGTGCAGAGCCACAAGGGCCCCCTGAGCCTCCTTTTCTCCAGGCTGAGCCACTTCCCAGCTCCCTCAGCCTCTCCTGGGCCTCCAGAGCCTTCCCCAGCTCCATTTTCTTCTCTGAACCTCAAAATGTCCTTCCAGCCCCACCTGAAAACGTGCTGCAGCTCTCCTGGGCTTATTTCTCTTGGGTAAGCCAGCTCCATGTGTGTGATCAGCATCATTAAAGAGGAGATCAGAGGAGTCAGTGGTGCTGCAGAGACCTTAACTTTGTTGTCCTACAGGAGACAGTGCACAGGGCTGAATGTAACTTCATTTATTGTGGAGTAGTTCCTCTTAGATCCTCCTCACAAAACCCTGAAAGCTCTGCTTGATAAACGAGGCTTTGGCCATGATTAATTCATGGCATTTTGGGTAATGTTTCTACCTGTTTGTTTGGAACACTGTGTTGCTAAAGTGGAATGAACACTTGTAGCCGTGCATCATTCATCTTTGACCCAGGTGAATGACATGGAGCTGTGTCAGGGGGGTTTAGGTTGGATTTTAGGAAAAGGTTCTTCTCCCAGAGGGTGTTGGGCACTGAACAGGCTCCACAGGGTTTGGTCACAGCCCCAAGGCTGCCAGAGCTCCAGGAGCATTTGGACACCACTCCAGGGATGCACAGGGTGGGGTTGTTGGGGTGTCTGTGCACGGCCAGGGGCTGGACTTCAATCCTCTGGATCCCGTCCAACTCTGGACATCCCATGATTTCTTTTCCCACTTAGCCCATGCACTGTTTTCCAGTAAATCTGTTTCAGGTACCTTCCTGCACCTGAAAATGACATTGAGCTCTGTGTTTATCCCCACCTCGAGCTGCCAAGTCACCTCCTGCTGCTTTTGAGGCATCCTTACAGCAGTGCAAGCACTGGCCTTGCTGACATGGAGCTTATCCAAGAAAACCCCTTGTCCCCCAGCTTGGGAACACAGCTGCCAGCAGTGCTGTCTTTAAATCTGCTGCTGGATTTGTCCCTGATCTTTGCATGTTTATGGATGATGAGGGAACACAGTAGTGGCATGGCTCTGAATATATAATAAGTCATTATCGGACAAAATGTTCTTTCTGAAGCTCATTATGGCTGATGTTCACCAGAATATTGTGCTCTATTATTCTTTTCCTTTCATGCCTCGTGCCAGCCCGTCCCAATTGCACTAATTCTGCTTCAGCTTCCTTGATTTTTTTAATTTGGCATTGGTGTCCCATGTGTAGGTGGGGTGTGTGTCCATTTATTTCAGTTCTGCTGGTATTTCCATGTGCTGCTCCTCTGGCCTGAATACTTGTCCTTCTCCTCCAGCAGCCCTAAGGATATTTCACTGACCCTCTCTCCTGGCTTCTCAGATCATTTTCTCATCTCCCATGTCAGATGTGGATGTTGAATAGGTTGAACTGATTTTAATCCTGTATTATAGCCCAGTAATTATTATTATTATTATCATCCCAGTATTTATGCTGTAGAGGAGAAAATGTCCACATCTGCTTTAAAATATCTGTGCTTGTAAAAACTGCTTGAAAGAAGAGGGTAAACTGTTACATTTTCTGTATTATCAGCTCTTTGTGGTCCATTCATCTTTTATTTTGTGGCACCCTTTGATTTTTACATTATGCAGCTTTTAGCACCTCGGGTTTAAATCCGAATGTAGCTTGTTGGCCACTTTATGTTTGATTAAGGTACAGACTCGATTCCAAGCTCACAAACACAGGGACTGAGTATTCACCCAAACCACTGCTTTATCTGCATAGCATTTGGAGAGGAAAAGCAGAGAGGATCCTGGTTGTTTCCTGGTGCACTGTGCAGGGCAGGATCCACACCTGCAGTTAACAGGATTTGCACAGTCTCAGGATGGTTTGGATTGGAAGGGGCCTTCAAGATCATCCAGTGCTACCCCTGCCATGGCAGGGACACCTTCCACTGTCCCAGGTTGCTCCAAGCCCTGTCCAACCTGGCCTTGGGCACTGCCAGGGATCCAGGGGCAGCCACAGCTGCTCTGGGCACCCTGTGCCAGGGCCTGCCCACCCTCACAGGGAGGAATTCCTTCCCAATATCCCATCTAAATCTACCCTCCTTCATCTTAAAGCCATTGTGTAACAGAAGGTCTTATCAACCAAGGTTGTTTCAGCTGCCTTTCACTATCCTTAATCTATTGCATTTTTTTTTTCTTTTTTTTTTTTTTTTCCAGAGCAAGAAGAGAACTTTGAGTTTATCATTGTCTCTCTCACGGGCCAGACTTGGCACTTTGAAGCAACCACCTACGAAGAGAGGGACGCGTGGGTCCAAGCCATAGAGAGCCAGATCCTGGCCAGTTTACAGTCCTGTGAGAGCAGCAAGAACAAGGTATGGGGCACAGAGTAATGCTGGCAATCACCCATGGGTCAGGGGATCATTAGGATGACAGCAAATTCTGGGTTTTAAGCCCTTACTCCTCGAGGTGTGTGTGTTCCCCCCACAGCTGAGCAGGGTTGGAGCTCTCTGAGGGAAGAACATGGCCTGGGAGGAGCAGCTTTCCCCCTTGGAATGCTTTCCTTTGATGACAGAAGGAATCTGCTCAGCTTTCCTGTGAAAACAAATGTTTAAAATCTGCGATGTCTTCAGCCAATGCTCATTTTGGGAGAACTTCTGTGTCTTGAGTGCAGGTGTCTGTAAACACTTCACAGGAGAGAGCAAGGTGCTGAGTGCTGATTGAGGGAGAGAAATGGCCAATAATTGTCCAGAACTGTAGATCCTTGAGTATTACCCACCCAACAGTTGTCTTTCATGATTTTATGCTGCAAGGAAGAAACTCATATTTTTAAATGGATGCCTGCCTTTATTGCCCTACTGTGCCAGACTAGGTCAAACACCAGTAATTACCATCATCATAACACAATTTACTTCACATTTTGTGTTTAAAAATGGGGTTTTTTCCAACATATATTCCTGAGAGGGAGGAAAATCATAGGTTACATATTTCTTGCTTAGCATGGGTTCACACATTCTGAAATGAATGTGTGTGTTATCAGAGCACAGGCGAGGAAGTTTGTACATTAACACCAACATAAAAAGATGAACACAAAAGGATAAAGAGTGGCTGGGCAATGGCTCAGAGAGGTTTTTCTCACTGGGTTCCCAAAGCATGTCAGAAGAACTGGCTGGAACAGCAAAGGGCAGTTGGCTGGGCAGGTTTAGTAGGTGTCCTATGGAAGTTGTGTCTCCAGGTGGATATCCACAAGCCTACTGAAATCACACCCTCAGGTAGCCCTCAAGGCAGTTTAGTTGGTGTCTGGGTTTCAAAAGACAGGTGTCTGCTAAGGAAGGCAGGAGCCTCCCCTAAAATGGAAAATGCAAACCCCCTTCCTCCGAATTGTTATAATTTTGAAATTAAGGGGCTCTCAGGCAAAGATATGGGAATAGGAATAACAGTTCTTTAGTAGGGAAGAAAATAAAAATAAAATAAACAATGCAGTGATACAGAACAACACTGACAGAGTCAGAATACAACTTCACACCCTGTGGGTCGGTGTGTTGATAGCAGTCCCATTAAGTGGTGGCTGAGCTCTCGTGCAGTGCCAGCTGTGGTTCTGCTGGAACAGGGATCCTGTAGGAGGGTGGAATTTTCCTCTGAAGATCCAGTGGTGGTGTAGATGGGCCTGGTCTTCCTCTGGGAATGCAGTGGAGAAGAAAGCTGCTCCTCTGGGAATGCAGTGGGAAAAGGCTGCTCTGGTATCCCAAAATCTCAGATACTATCCAGGCAGGAATGCTTGGCTCCTCCCCCTGGGCAGAGCATCTCCCAGTGGGATGAGGAATTTTATCAGCCATGCAGGGACACTCAGTGGCCATGAACAGAAGAGATCTCCTGGAGGGAGGATTGGTTGTAGGAGAGATAAAGAAAACTGCCCAGTGAACAGAGAGAGCTGCCCCACCTCTGACAGGTACAGAGTAGAATACACACTCCCAGGCACATCTTGCATCTCCAGCCTAAGACAGTTGGGTGGAGCTGACCTGCCTGTACATCAGGAGAGTCTCCCCCAGCAGAGGTTGTGGGCAGGTCACCGTGGGGAGCATTTAAAAGGGAGCCACCAGGTGAAATCTGACCTTTGGATGATGAAAAAGTTCCAGCCTCTTCTGCAAACTGTCCCTTAGTCTTCATTAGCACAAGCACACACATCAATAAAAGAAATTGATCTTGTAAAATAATATTCTTGTCTCATTTATCTCAAGAAGCAAGCCTATAGTGTGGCTGCTGCTCTTGGGAAGAGCAAGGTTCATTCTCAAGCTCAATTTCCCTCTGTTAGAATCCAGGCCGGAGACCCCAAAAGTCTGGGAGGTGCCAAGGATCACTGTTCCTTGAGAGGCAAGTCGAGACTTGAGGTTCTTTGGCTGTATTCATTCGACCTTGGTGTGAGCTTTGGGGTTTGCTGCTCGTTCAGCTGACATTGTGTCATGGGGGTTTTTGGGTTCTTGCTGCTCATCGGTGTCTCTGGCTCCCCGCAGTCGCGCCTGACGAGTCAGAACGAGGCCATGGCGCTGCAGTCCATCAGGAACATCAGAGGCAATTCCCACTGCGTGGACTGCGAGGCACAGAGTGAGTACAGCCACCTGACTGCCCCTCTGCCCCCTTCTCGTTGGCCAGGCCCTGGGGAGCACCCAGGCCTGGCTCCCTGTGTGACGTCCCCTCTGTTGTTTGCACATCTCTGCTTCGTGCAGGATTCGCTTAACCAGACTCGTTTGATCTTAATTTATGCTCAATATCTGTCACATCAAGTGCATCCTGGTTTTTTCCCCTTGTTGTTTCACGTTGAATGTCAGCATTGCTGTACTTTCCTTCAAAGAAAAGGCAAAAAGTTTGCTGTTTGACATCACTCCCTTCCATTTCCCTCCTGTTTTGCATGGTGAGGGCACACGTGCCGTGGTACTATTTTCAAAGAGGTAGAGCTTGATTGCTGGCTTTTTGGTTTGGTTTTTCAGGCTTGCTTGTCAGAAGAAACCAAAGTCATTGCTCATTATGTCTGGATACTAGAAAACTGATTTTGGATTATTTTTTTTCTTCCCCTTTGTGTTTCTTTCCCCTTTTTTTTTTTATTTTTTGAAACATATGCTCAGTGTTCAGAAGAGTGTTCTCAGGAATACTTTGAGCTGTGCTTCACCTCACTAACCCCGACTGAGGCCATTATTCTGGTGCTCTTTAGTTCCAGGGGTTTGCAACAAAGCCACAGAAAGGAAGTTCTCTTGCTCTAAAGCAATTAGTTGTAGGAGCTAAAGGACTGAGAACTTGTGCATTTTTATTTCTTTGATATTTGGAAGTCAGAACTTTCCTTGCGATTTTTACACATGCTTAAAATGGAAAAATATTCACTTACTTTCTTCAGGTGTGACTTTTATTTTTAAAGATTGGCTGCTTGGGATTCCGACTCCTGGTCTAAGCCATTCTGACCCCCCAGTGTAAAAAGAACATTTGTACACAAGTGCAGGTGCTTTTGCACCAATAATTTGGTCTCTGCTTTCACTCTGAGTGATCCAGCACCTGCTAAACCAGGGAAGAGCTTGGTTTGAGTGGTATTTTAGCACCTGGAGCCCAAAGCAAGTCTTACTTATTGGTGTGCTTTCATAGTGACCTGGCAGTCATTGAGATTTCCCCCAAAGCTTTGATGCAGCTCAGGAGGAAGGCAGGAAGGGTGTGTGCTGTGGATGAGGAGGGGGTCTGGGAGTGACCTCCATGGATATTTAGGCCATTTGAATTACTCACTGCTGCCTCCAAGCAGCACATAGTGGGAGTGGTGCTGAGTCCTGCTCCACTGTGGGTGGCATTTTCCCAGCCTTGATAACTAGATATTTATTTATAAAATATACAAATATATTATATTTATATATATATATATGGGAGGTTATATTATACATCCATAAGATGCAGTCCCTTCAGTGCAGACAACTTCCACAACATCCTTCTGATCCACCTCAGCCTACCCAGATTCCACACTCCTAGTCTTGCTAATTAGATACTTATTTATAAAATATACAATTATATTTTTATATATATTTATGGGAGTTTATATTATATAGCCATAAGATGCAATCCCTTCAGTGCAGACAACTTCCACAACATCCTTCTGATCCACCTCAGCTCTACCCAGACTGTCCCCAAGGACAGTTTCTCTCCCCAGCCATGCACATATCTCAGGATTTATGCAGCCAGGATGGATGCTTCATCAGGAAAATGCTTGTGCAAGAAAGCAGCACTCTTTTTTTAATATTTTTTGGGTTTTTCCTGCCCCCCCCACCCAATCTGCTTTTCAGCCAGGTTGCTCATGGTCGAGCTGGCCCCTGTGCCTGGTGCTAGCAGCCTGGATGTGCCTGGAGCTCATTGCTGGGAGAGGGCAGAGTGGCACAGCCCCTTTTGTCAACACTCTGTCTTGTGGCTTTTATGGGGGGATGATTTTGGGATCTCAGCTGGACTTGTTTGTATTCTCACAGATTATTTATACCCTCTTTGACTCCTCGTGCTGTTTGACCTTCCTGATTTTAAGGCCACTGTCATTCCTTTGGAAAAATGTGAGATATTTCCAAAGCCGTGGATTCTAAAATGTAAACACACACACACAGAGGAGGCGAACCTCAGCCTGCTGCTTTTTCTGCAGGGTTTTGCTTTATTCCCTTGCCTCCCTTGCTGCCTTGCCTGGGCAGGTCCCTACCCCCAGAGCACTTAACATCACAAACCCCAGCACTCCGTGGAAGTCTCACGCTGTTTGCATCTCCACAGAGCCAGATGTTTGGGAGCACAGGAGTGTGAGATGTTGCCATCCCTCAGCTCTATTCAGGAGCCATCAATCTTCCACTTCAGAAGTCTCATTCTCCCTCTTTCTGGAGCTCTTTGCCTTTTGAGCACTTGATGCAGCACTTTGTTTCACCAGGGAATTCTGCCTCGTTGGATGTTAATCCAGTAGCTGTGTGCCTCCAGCATCCCGGCCTTTGGCAGCCTCCAGCTAAAGTTATTCAATATTCTCCTGCTGACATTCCCATCCCAGAGCCAGAGAAGAGGCAAAGTGCTCTTTAGGAGCTGGAGTTTGTGCCCAGGATCTGGTTTCAAGTTTGAAAAGGAAATTGATGTTACCTTTTCCCAAAGCAGCAGAGTCCCGGTGCTGACTCTGTCTGGAAAAGCCACCCAAGGTGATCCAATAATTCAGGTAAACCCAGCTGAATTTCTGGCTTTTGGCTCAGCAGAGGATAAATATCAGTCACCTCTTTCAAGATACCTGGAGAACATGGGACATCAGATCTTTGCTGTTGTAGAAGGAAATAGGGAGGGTTTGAAAACATGGATTCTCAAAATGTGTTTTTCATCTCAGGAATCTGATCACATACTCCAGTGTATTTTGTATTTGAAAGCCAGACACTGAGATAATAATTTGGACAATCTTGTCCTACCCATCACAAAATTCAGTTTTTCGTGCAGAATAGGAAAATAAAAAAGAATAGGAGAGTTGCAAACTTTTCTCCCCCTTCTGCAGCAACTCGAGATACCTTCACCCCTGCTTCTTCTTTCCCTGGCTCTTCTGCTCCTCCTTCCAGCAATTCCTTCTGCTCAGCCCAGGGATATCTCACAGCTGCTGACCTCAGGAGGGTTCAGCCTTTCATCAGCCTCCTTGGATCCAAAGGGATGAAGGAGACAGTGGGGAGAGGTTATTCTCCTAAGAGAGTGTTCACCTCCAAATGGTGAAGCTGATTGAGGTGAGAGTCAGAGTGGGGAAGAGTTTTTCAGGGAAGGAGTGAGCTGAACATTTTTGAGGCTATGAACAGCTGAAAATTGTAATCTGGGTATATTCAGTGGTGCAAAAAAGCTCATTTTTTGTTTGACCAATTTTAAGTAAAGCACCTCTAGCTGCACTGAGTTGGCTTTTTCTTCCTTTTGCTGTCAAACCTTGATGCCCACACCTGCCACGTGCTCATGAGATCCCCCAATTCAGAATTGCTATCACCATCAGCAGGAAAAGGGAGCTGGGTTTGTATCATCTTTAAAGTAAAAAAAAAAACAAACAAACCCAACCTTGAATAGTTACAGCTTTCCAACCATTTGTGGTGTGAATTGGTGATAGCATTTTCCATTTCTGTAACAAGCCCAGCCCTTGCCTTGCCACGTTTGCCACTTTCCCACCCAGCTGTGTGGTGTCAGATTGTTGAAATTGAATATAATGTCATGCTAAAATTTCATGGAACTTCCTGGTTGTTCTTTTGGGGGACTCCTTCAGTTCTAGCAATGCTGGCAACTGAGAGGTTCTTCCAACCCAAACCATTCTCTGAATGATGCTCTGAAGCAGGAGGATATTTATAGAATTTTTTCAGTACAAAATGCTCTACATGTGCTTCAAGTAGAGAGGTGTTTGGGAGGGAGATCAGGCCCTTAACTCCAGTTCTGTCAGAATAATTGGAATAATGTAAGTTGGTATTCCATTCTCCTGCTTCATTCTGAGTTCATGCCTCTTAGAGCTCATTGCACTTTGGATTTTTGTGAGGATAACCCTGGCCTTTGCAGGTCAGGGGTTTCATCCCAGTCACAGTTTGCAAATTTCAAACTATTACTTGCTGTGTTCAAATTTATACTAACAAATAGAGATTTTAGGAGGCTTTTAGTGTGTTTCAGATACACCACTGGTTCCCCCACTGGCATAACAGTGGAGGTATCTGAAAAATTATGGAATTGAAGGAGTTTTGTAGTTGTTGTACAAAAAGCTTGGAAAGCATGGCAGGAGTTTTGTCTCACCTGATTTTTTGGAGATCTGAAATGCTGTATATCTATATTGTGGATATTAAATTATGTATAATATAGGACTTGGTATGCACAGGAACTTTTAAACAAAAGGTGTGCTTTTCTGCTCAAGTGGAATGGGATGAGGGATTTTTCTTCTTGGTTGCATTTTTAGATTTCAGTGGACTGGTTGAAAAATGTCAGTCAATGCCTTCAGTGAAATGTGGGACTTCACAATTAAAATTATGAGCTTTCCTTTCCTATTTTTTGTCCAAACATGACACGGGAAAGAACTAGAAAATGTTTTGTTTACACATATTTTGGCTGCCAGAAATAGCTTTTCAGTTGTGGGTTACACAAAGTCGAGACGAGTCTTTGGATGAATTTTTTACAACAGAAGGAAACACTGGAAATTCATTTTCTGTCAGCTCCAAATTTTGTTTAGATAGGAACAAGAATTGCCTGCCTTCTTAATTAATCCCCATTTTCCTGCTTGGCATTTGGGGTAGTTCTTTGGGATGCACAGAGTGAGGCATGAAAAAAAGATCTGACAACAGGGGGTTAGAAAAAAGCAACCAAAATTCCTCTCGTATTTTTTCGTTTGCATTTGTTAAGGTGAATGTTTGTTGGAGAGAAGGCAATCCATACAAATCTAGATTTTAATTACACAGAACAGTGGCAAAAGAGCTTTGAACCATGTTGAGAAATGGAATTTCCCATCTGGTGTCAGGTTTGTCCCAGTGTCACCCTTTGTGGGGTTGGTTTGGGTGGGTGCAATCCTTCTGGCTCATGCCCTGGAAGAGAGGCTGTTCCAGGGGGGACATTCCCACCTTGGTGTTCATCTCCCTGATGCTGGAGATGGAAGAAGAGTCAGATGGAAGAGCCACAGGTAGCTGCTGGTATGCTTGGTTGTTGAGGGAGCTGATGAAGTTAGCATGAGATAATTGTTTCTAGGCTCTGGTTTTTTCTCCTTTTACCCCTTCAGCTGACTACAAGCAGCTCTGGGTTCCCAGGGAGGGTCTTTCTTCACTGCTTCACCATCCTTTATCCATTACTCTGCTTATATTGCCTTTGTTTCTTCTTTTCCCTCTAATTCATTGGGGTTTTTTGACTGGAGGTGGAGTGGAACATCTTTTGACACACCACATTTTGTTTTTCTGTACTCCTTGAAGGGCTGGCATCTCCACTGACCCTGGAAGACCTCCCAGCTGCTCTTTAGGGCAAGACACCCCCAGAGCCAAAACCTTCATGCACAAACACCAGCTGGGAAGTTCCGTAGGGTGTTCCCTTGTCCTAACTGCAGTGTCCCTTGTCCTGCAGACCCCGACTGGGCCAGCCTCAACCTGGGAGCCCTCATCTGCATCGAATGCTCAGGTATCCACCGCAACCTCGGCACGCACCTGTCCCGGGTGCGCTCCCTGGACCTGGATGACTGGCCCATCGAGCTCATCAAGGTCATGTCAGCCATTGGCAACGAGCTGGCCAACAGTGTGTGGGAGGAGAACAGCCAAGGCCACGTGAAGCCTTCCCCAGACTCCGCCAGGTGGGTTTGCACTCGCCGCGCTGTCACTGTGATACTTTCTGGAAATCCTTTGCTGGGATTGTTCTCCTATTCTAGCTGAGAAGCCTCAGAAAAGAAATGTAAACAATTAACTACCTGATGGCTGTGGAATGTGGTCTGGACATTGTTTACCAACAGGTGCATCTGTGATTGGTCCATGTGTGTTGTTTCTACTCTAATGACCAACCATGGTCCAGCTGGGTGGACTCTCTGAGAGTCACGGGTTTTTATTACTCATTCCTTTCCATTCCATTCCTTTCTAGCTTTCTGAAGGATCCTTTCTCTCTGTTCTTTTTAGTATAGTTTTAGTATAGCGTTTTAATATAATATAATATCATAATATAATAAAATAGCCTTCTGAAACATGGAGTCAAGATTATCATCTCTTCCCTCGTCCTGGGACCCTTGAACACGACCACACCATGCCTCGCCCGGCGTGTGACGCCACCGCCACTTTGGAGTTCTGCCTTGTGGGAAAATCACGATTATAACCTCACATTGTTTATAACCCCAGGAAGAACATGTGTCAAAGTGGGAGGTGGCAGAAGTTGAGTGACCTCGTTGCTTTCTCGCTCTTGTGAAGGTTTCCTCAGCAGCTCTGCAGTTTTCTGTTCAGTGGGAGATGGAAACCTCCCACCTGCTTCTTCCTCCATCCAAATTATCCTGTCATGTGCTCCTTTGTCTCAGTGGGCCACCAAGCTCCTGCCTCTCGGACTGTCAGTTTGTCATTAACAATCTCCCTTCAGAGTTTCTTGTACCTGGCTGTCAGGTCTTTGGTTCTGCTCAGGGGTGTTCAAAGTCCTGTTCGCCATGGACTTGATTACTTTTTTTGTGTGTGATTTATGTGAAACCATGAGCTGCTGGGAGGTATCTCCTTTGAGAACAGCTTTTTACCTGCCTCTCGTAGCTCCACACAGTGAAAATCTTCCTGTGATGTGCTGTCCTACCCAAAACCTGGGGGGTTTTATGCTGAATTAATCTGATCAGTGTCAGAGACAGACGTTTTGAGAATACTTTTTCCAGTTTTGGATCAGGCGGAAGGATCACCATGCCTGGGCCAGCTCCTGCAGCAGAGGGCTGGGTTTGTGCTGTTGTGTGTAATAAAGTCAACTGTTCCTTATTGCATTATTTCGTTAGCCCTGAAAAATGAATTTGTGGTGCCACCTTTGGTTCGTCTTCGAGAATGAAGGCACGGCATTAATCAGGCTACTTAGATGAATGGCTGTGCATCTAAAAGTGCTCAGGGAGCCCCAAAGAGAGGTTTTGTTCAGGCAGAAATGGGATGTCTGCTCTAGACTTGTGTATTTTTGGGCACAATGATTTCATCAAGTAGATGGAAATGAACTTTCAGTCATTGCTATTGCTTCAACACAGAGATTTTATATTCTTGCACCTCACAAATATATGTTGCTCCTTACTGCTGAGGTGAGTAGTTCTAAACAGCTGAAAGGAAAATGCATGCACTCAATTGGAATTCTATTTTTTAAAAAAAGGAAAAATCACATTATTTCAGTAGTCATATAATAATCATCATGAAAAATCTAAAATCCATGTGACTGTGATGAAAAGAGCACCATCCATTTCAATTAATAATTCACTCAGGTTTGAATTTTACTTCTAGAAAAGCAACTTTTTTTCTCTTAGTGTTTCATACACAGGGCTTATTTTAATTCTGCCACTTTGTTTCTGTGCATCTTCATGGTTATATTCTGACATGGTTATATGGTTATATTCTGATTGTTACTGGTATCACTGCCCTTTCTCTCCTGCACTGCAACGTTTTTGGACAAAAAGATTTATTTTATAGATAGGATTTTCTAGCTCTGTGTCCAGGTTCATGCTTATGTGATAGAAGAGGTGCTAGGAAAAGCAGAATTAGGATGATGTGGAAATATTCCCACAAAGCAATTGCAGTCTTGCTTTGCTGCTCCCATTCCTCTGCTGTTTGCAGCAGGAACTGAAATGCAATTTTTTACATAAATACCAGAGACTTCTGCTTTTTCCAAGTGAGTGCCTGCTTTTGTGCTTCTCTTTGGTCTCTGCCAGCATCACAATCCTTCTGTCCAAGCTGTGGGGAGAAAATAAATTCAAGTTCTTCAGGTAGGGGCTCTGCTTCCCATGTTCTCACTGCTGCTTGGAGTTTTGCATGAGGAATTCTATTGGAAGCAGCTGAAATGGCCCCAAAAGGAGGGTTAAACAAACCTTCCTTTTGTTGTTGTGGAGGGACTGAAGGGGGAAGAGGCAACTCCAGGAGAGCCTAAGAGGGACTTAGGAGAAAGAATGGAGAGACAGGACACAGGGAATGGCTTCCACTGTCAGAGGGCAGGGATGGATGGGATATTGGGAAGGAATTGTTCCCTGGGGGGGCGGGGGGGGGCTGGCACTGCCCAGAGCAGCTGGGGCTGCCCCTGGATCCCTGCAAGTGACCAAGGCCAGGTTGGATGGGGCTTGGAGCACCCTGGGCTAGCGGGAGGTGTCCCTGCCCATGGCAAGGATGAAACTGGATGGTCCTGAAGGTCCCTTCCAACCCAAACCATTCTGGGAATCTCATTCTGTGACAGGCTCTCAATAGACACTTTTAGAGGGCATCAGGTGGCTTTTACCTTTTCATGTTGTGTCTTTCTGTTGGGGATGAAGCCATCAGTGGAAACCCACACATTTCTAGGGACACCAAAAAAAAAGTAATGAGCTGCTCAACAAATACTGAATTGTTGTGCTGGGAGGCTGAAGGAGTGTTCACAGGCTGGACTAAGAGGAACCTGAAAGTCTTGATGTGCCTTTCAAAGCAGTCTCTTCAGCCTGGGAGAGGTTGGCACTGATCACTGTGTGCTTGCTGTGGCATCCTCTGTGTTTCTGTGGAGTAGGGGAAAGGCAGGAGGGATTCATGGAGATGGTTTCTGACAGGAGGAATTGCCAAATGGCTACTCTAGGTCATGGCATAATTAAGGAATCTTACCCAGGAAAATGTCACCATTATTTCTGGAAACAGAGCTGTGAGTACAGCTTCCCTTTAGTAATTTTGCACACTCAGAAATAAGATACCAAATTCAAGACCTTATCATGGCCTGCACCTTCCTCATGAGGGACAGCTCCAATCTCTGCTCTCTGTGACAGGGACAGCACCTGAGGGAGTGGCTGGAGCTGTGTCAGGGCAGGGTCAGGTGGGATATCAGGAAAAGGTTCTTCCCCCAGAGAGTGCTGGCACTTCCCAGGCTCCCCCAGGGAAAGGGCACAGCCCCAGGCTGCCAGAGCCCAAGGAACATTTGGACAATGCTCTCAGGGGTGCACAGGGTGGGATTGTTGGGCTGTCTGTGCAGGGCCAGGGCTTGGATCAATGATCCCTGTGGGTCCCTTCCAGCTCAGGAGATTCTGTGATTAAACCACGTGAAATACTGCTGTCCTTTCCTTACCTGCTCAAATGTACTTCAAATTCTTCATCCAAGCAAATCATAGGAAAAGATAAACCTGGACACTTCCTTTGAAGGCCAGAAAGGTTCTGAGATTGGAGGGTGTGTAAAATCAAAGCCTGGGAGCTCTTCAGCCAAAGGCGTCATCCCTCCTGCACTGGTCAGGGATATATTGCTCAGCTGTATCCTCTGATACTGATATTTTCCAGGAGAGGCAAGCAGCCTGGTCTAGAGGACAGTGTCCCATGGCAGGGGGTGGGATGAGATGGGCTTTAAGGCCAAACCATCCTGGAATTCTTCAGGCAGGTCTCCAGGTCAGTCAGTGCCCCTGTAAGTGAAAAGCAGCAGCCAGGATGGTCTCTGGCACTGAACTGGAAGGCTTTGGGAGCACAGGTGTGGTGGGATTCCCCAAGGAGGTGGCACGAGGCAGAGCTGAGGCTGTTTCTGGGATTTCGGGAGGAAGGAGGAATAAACAGGAGCTCCGCTGAGCACGGAAAGTTGGAGAAATGGTGGAAAACCCAAGCTCAGGCAAACACTTGAGTATGAAAGGGAGCAGGGACCAGCTGGCCCCTGAGCTGTGGTGTCTGTGGGTCCCTGATTAGGTCAGCTCTGGAGAGCTGGTAATTGGTTCCAGCAATTACCAGCAGCCCCGAGAACGCCGCTCCAACTCGGGGAGGCCTGTGACAAATTGAAGCTGACTGCTGCTGAAGGAGTATCGACTTCCCATTCCTAAACAGGGGGATCATTAGTCAAGAAAAGCATCTTTTAATTACTCCCAGGAAGAAAAAAAAAGAAAAAGAGCAAAAAAAGGAAAAAGATCTTTCGGTATGGATCCTGCAACAACCGCCAGGTTTTTTTTCCAAGTGTATTCAATATTAAATTTATTGTCTCTGAGGGGAGGGGGCGAGCAGGGGAAGCTTGCCTGCAGTCCCTCCTTGGGTAATGCGGGTTTAATTTGGAGTGAGAAGTCAAATTAGAGTAAATCAATGTTGGGACAATTAACTGGGGCTGGGGATGGGATCAGGATTTTCCCTCTAATTGCTATTGATACTGTTTAAGCACACTCTCACAACGCTGCTGTGCAGTGCTGCAGCTCTGGATGAGCCCTGTGGGGCTGAGCAGCTCTGTGGAGGAATGTTGGAGATGTGGGGAAGCCAGCTTGGGAATTCTTTGCCTATTGCACTGGTGTGTCCATCTCCTACCAGATATTTAGCTTTTTCTGGACGCACCTCACCTGTTTTGCTTTGTCCTCGTGCTGGTTTCTGGTTTGCAGGCTCATTTGCTACTGTTGACTTCCCACGGTGGTGTTGGCCTTTTCCAAAGGAGACAAGCTGCCCCCATCCCTCTGCCCACTCCAGGAGATGGTTATTTATCTGCTCCCTCACCCTCCTTCCCTGAGCTCCATCCCAGTCTCCCTGGGTGTGTTGGGATGGATGTGCCACCTCCACCAGCTGGAACTTGCCAGGCAAGCTGAGGGAAGGCAGGCTCATGTGCAGGCACCATCCCGGCCACGCTTCTTGTTCTGCTGCTCAGACAATGCCAAATATCTGCATTGGCTACACACAGATAGGGCTC